CACAGAGGGGGGCTCCCAGCTGCCGGTGGCCCAGGGACGGCCTGGCTCGTCCTCGTCATCACCAACGTAGTGGGATGCGTGTTTGGGCAGAGAGGCGGGCCGGTATGACCTCAGTGAGCGAGCGCTGGTGCTGGCGGGCTGGAAGGGCAGCGCGCTCTGGCCTCGTCGCCGACACTCCTCCTCGAAGGCGTCCTCGTCGGCCACACCTGAAAGCACAGGACAGAGACGCACGTCAGGTTCTCCTACCCGACCTGGACACAGATGGGGCCACCACCCCCACCGCCACCATGGCCCCGCAGCAGCAAAGGAGGGCATCGCCTCACTCCCCCCACCGCTCTGCTGGGGCCTGGACTCGCCTTCCGGGGAGCAGCCGCTCCCCACCAACCCTCAGCACACGTTAGTGGGTCTGAGAGAGAGAGGGTGTCCTCTCGGAACCACGGTCAGGCTGGACCAACCGCCACAGTCGCATCGTCAGAGTCAGCCCAGGAGCCCCCGGCAGGAAGGGCTCCGGACTGTTGGCCTCCCCCGTAGGCAGCTTTGGCTCCGGGACCCGCACGCGGTGCTGAAACGAGCCTGGGGTGGGGGCAGCGGCCGTGGGCCCTGCGGCCCGCCCGCACCAGGCGCCTGCCACACCAGAAACACCGCCAAGGACCACCTCACCGCTCGCAGGCCCGTGCTTCTGCTGGGCTTTTGAAACCAGGAGTTCTGCAGGTTAGGCAGGATGCTGGGGATGGACTCCAACACAGCGGTAACGTTCACCGAGAGGGTCAGCGCCTTTCTCTTGAGACGTTTTGATGGCCAGTCACGTGGCGGAACGTGAGAAAGGCGCTGCTGGAAGTCCAGTAACGAGATGGCAAGCCCACCCGTCTGCTGGGTGGGCGCAGCGGCACCCTTCCTGGGCCCCTGGACACTCGGCTCCATGTGTGCAGGGGGCGGGGGGTCCCAAACACCACGGCAGCCAGAGCCTCGAAGCCTGAGCCCAAGCAAATGAGCCGGAAGGGTCACCTCCTCGTGGAGTGTGAACCGAGGCCGGACGCCTGCGTGAGCTCTTCCTCTGCCCCCTGTGCAGGGGCCCCTCCACTCCTGCCTCCCCCGACCACTAGGCAGACCTGCTCGGGGAGGTGCTCCTGAAATGAGGCGTTTGTTACGAGAGACCTGCACTCACGGGGCTCCTACGCTCACAGCTGCCTGTGCTGCACACGTCGGCCCCGAGTGCCAGGCTGGGCGCGGGGAAGAGGTGCGGGGCCGCCCCTCCACCTCACCACACACCCGCACGCACGGCCCACCTGCACACCACACCTGCTCGGGCCCCGGCGTCCCCCCTCCGCCGGGTGCGCTGTCCGAGTCCCACCACCCACACCACAGAGCAGTTCGCGCCTGAGACCCCGGGGAGCCCATAACCTGGGTGGGGCCTGCGATGCAGACTCAGTTTCTGCTCCGGGACGGGCCACGCCTTATACAACCCAAGTGCCCCCATCAGGGAACAGCATTCTGGGGCTGGCGGAGAGCCGGCCTCCAGGCCACAGACCAGTCACAACCCCAACCCTCAAACAGAAGGGAGACGCGTTATCTGTGGACCCACGGAGGCCCTAAGGCTGGGAGGGAGGCCTGGCGCTCCGTGCCCGGGGCCTTGGCAGCCACCACGTCAGATGCCCTGTCCTCAGCAGCCCTCCTGAGGACCACTGGCCGCCCCCACTGCGGGTCCTCAAAGTCAAAGGCCAGGCTGAAGAAACAGGCCCCGGGCCCGGCTGTCACTCCAGCCTCAAGCAAGCCCTCCACCTGGGCGTGTGCTCCGTGGGCCCAGCCTCGCCCCCAGTGTGACTGCTGAGGAAGGGGCCACAGGCTTTGGAATGAACACGCCTGTTTGCCTGCAGGAGGGCGGTGTGTAGGGCGGCTCCTGGGGCAGGGGCGCTCAGGGCTGCAAAGTCTAACACCCACACGCGGGCCCCATCTGATTCCCAGATACATGGAGCCCTTTCAAGGGAGTGGGACCCATGGAGCTGGGTCCAGGAGGTCACTGCCGTGGAGACCTGACATCAAACCTGCACTTGAAGCAGAAAGCAGGGAGGCGCTGGCGTCTCAGCATGACCCCAGCCCACGCTCAGCTTCTCCCCACCTTGGATGGAAGAGGACCTGGACCCTGTACAGGGAGGGGCTGTGGAGACTCCCGGGGGCCTGAGGCCGAGCAGTGGTCCACTCCCTGGTGGTTCAGATGATTTCAGGGTGACACCTTTGGGGCACAGGACACGCTGGCACGTTTGATCTGAGAAGGGGGGTGACCACAATGGCCCTAGACTTGGAGGAGGCAGGGGCCTGAGGGCCATTTTCAGCGGCTTCACTCACCTCACCTGCAGCGAGGTCCGCACCTCAGGTCACCCCAAACCCACGGGTGCCCGTCAGCTGTTCAGGGAGACCCGCCTCCACATCCCCCATGTGCAGCCGTGGCTCCGCCGAGACTCACCTCCCATGGCGGAGCGCGAGGCTGGTCTGTCCCGCCGCTCGCCTGCGCTTCTCCGGGATGGTCTCCGGGAGCCAGAGTGCGGGCGGGGAGGTCCCCCCGGCCGTGCTGTCACCCCAGGCACACCGGCCCATCGCCTGGCTCAGCTGCCAGCTTCCTCCTTCCGGAGCCGCCCCGCCCCGGGCCCTGCCCCTGATCTCAGGGCTGCCTGCACACCCTGTGTCTGCTGTTCAGAAGATGAAATAGTCACTCAAGTGTTGAGCTTGGCTGTCGGAGAACAAGCACTCGAGCATGGGAAACAGTCACCACCCAGGCTTAGGGTCCCAGTCGTCTCCCCAAAGGTCAGGCACTCTGGGACCCTGGGACACACTCCGCGTCCAGAGGTGGTCGGACCACTGACCAGAGAGCACGGAACTGCAGGACTACAGCGGCCTGGCATGACAGGCCGCTCTCTCCTGGGTGTGGAGCCCCTCCCTGAGCATCAGGGCAGCTGTGCCTCCCCCCCACTGCCCAGGGCAGAGCCAGCTCAAGCCCCTCTCTCCCACACAGGCCCTGAGCACCACCCGCTTCACGCCCCGCCTCTGCCAAGCCCCCCTCTCAGCCGGCCCACGTTCTCTGCATCAGGGGTCACCCAGGGGCAGAGGGAGGGGCAGCAGGTGATGGCCAGGTCTCGGGCTTGGCCTCCCAGAAAAGCCCCGTCTGGGGACACCCAGCCGGGATGCCGACTGCCCCATGTGGTCAGCCCTGGAGGCCCCCAGACAACGTCCCGAGCTCCAGAGGTCCTGGGTCTGGACCCCACAAAGTCTCCATGACGCCCGGCTGCGCCTCAAGTACCAGGGAAAGGGTTTGAAGAAAAGAGAGAAAGGTGGTGACTAAGAACCTTACCCGAGCATCTCTGCTGGGGACCTTCTGGAAGGAAGCCCTCGACGTGCGCTTGTTCCAGCACTCATTCTGAACCCACTGTACTAAACCCAGGATTCCACCAGGCGCTGACAGAATCACAAAAGGACGCCCCATCCTCAGAAGGGACACAGCGGTGCGTGGCACACACCCACGGGAGGGGAGCTGACTGGGGCGACAGCTTTTGTCAAAGCCAGTGGTGGGATCCTCCTCCCAGACAAACTCAAGTGGCCTGGCTCTGACCAGGCGGCCAGTGGGGCCCGTGGCCTCCAGCGCTGTGACCCGCACTGTGGACAAAGCGTGAACGAACTGGACTGGTGCCACCCACAGCTTCTGAGCAGGACAAACGAGAAGAAAATGGGGAGTGGGTCAGCAGACACGCGCAGGGGAAGGAGGGCAGTCCCGGGCCGGGAAGGGCTGTCCTGTCCCAGTGACCCCAGGGCCAGCTGGCCCCTCAGAACAGCAGCCCCGACCTGCTCTCCACCATGTGCAAACGGGCTACGCCCCAGGAGCACTGACCTAACTCCTCCTGGACACAGACCGGCCGGGGTTTGAGAGGACCCCCAGCCCGGGTCCTGAACCACTGCCCCGAGACGCCCCTCGGGCCTCCTCAGGACAGGTCCTGCCCAGAGCAGAGGCGGTCCTGCCTTCGGGGCAGACAAGGCTGCCGGACATCCGAGCTTGGCACTGCGGACACCACATCCCTGGGGGCCGTGGGACCCCAGAGTGGCCACCCATCAGCCAGGTCCTGGACCAGAAGTACCAGGCACCCTGGAGACGAGCGAGAGCGGTGCGCAGAGCGGGGCCTCTCCAAGGCAGGGGGGTCTGGGGGGCGCGACCCAAGAACGCATGGGAACGGCCGCTCCAGCCTGAACTCCGCTGCAGCGCATCATCTGTTTTGGGGCTTTCCTGTCGCAGTGCCTCCAGACCTCATCCTCACAGCCTCCCCTGTACCCCAAATGTCAGAAGGCCACGTGACACTGGACACGGAGGCACCTGGCTGCTCCCCGAATGGGCACTGGCAGAGAATGCCGTCCCCCGACTGCGAGTGCAGGTGGGGAGCCCCTGAGCTGGTCTTCTGCTCCGGGATCCCCCGTCCTCCCCTGGCCTCCAGCAGGGCGTCCTCGGCGGCAGAACTGAACTGACCTAGACGGCAGGGACGCACTGGCCTGAGGGCGCAGCAGACGGTGAGCGGGCGATGGGAGCCCCGCTGAGCAGCCAGGGTCCGGAAGTCAGATGGCAGGGGGGGCACACACCACCTGCCCAGCTCCGTGAGTCGGGCTGTGAGCCCAGCTGTGCAGGAAAACACGGCTGCCCTGAGCCCGATCACAGAATTCTCGTCTAAGACCGTGCTTCCCAAAGCAGAGGGGAAGCTCTCCGCTGGTGGCGGGAGCACCACCAGGAAGTAAAGCCCCGAGGCTCTCCTTGGCCAGGTGCTCTTGACCGGAAGACACCATCGCTCTGCAACTACACAGAGCCGTGCCCTCCCCAGAAGAGGCACTCAGCCAAAAGCAACTTTTCCTTAAACGTCTCAGCCCCACAGCACTTACTTGTTACTGTCAGGATGAGCCCGGCCCACTTTCGTGACTAAAGACCTGGGGTCGGTCTCCTTCCTTTCTTGGTCCCCCCACGTGGTCGTCCCAACCACGGGCTAAACGAGAACTCAGAACGCCCGTGCTGTAAGTTAACATCATCTGGCAAAAACACTCTGAAGCATCTTCGAGTCAGAGAAGGTGAGCCCGCAGTCGGCACCTGGAAGGACACGCTGCCGCCCCCTCACGAGGAGAGAAGGCTCCCTGCGGGCCACGCCCCACCCTGGGCCACCACGGGGAGCGCCCCAGCCCTGCA